GAGCTGGGACCCGTACTTCAGAGGGATGCACCCTGCAGGGCCGGGAGAGGCTCAGCTGGCTCTTCTGGTGTCCTGCTGTGTGTGTGTCCCCAGGTCACCTGGTGTCTTGGTTACCTTTCTTGCTGAGGAGATAAAATACCTGACACCCAAAGTTGAAGGAGGAAAGGTTTACTTGGCTCAGTTCACAGAGCCCATAGTGGGCAGGCTCCAAGTCAGGGTGGCATGGCCGGGGGGCATCTAGGAGGAGTAACCATTTCTGGCAAGAGGGCAGAAGGCAGCAAAGGCGGCAACCGGCAGCTAGCGACAAGAGCAGTTTCCTTCTGTCCTTTTTCTGTTCCGTCTAGGCTTCCTGTGTTCCACCCTTAGGGCCGTAGCACTCACACCCAGAACTACGCCAACCAATCAGTGGACTGATGTAGTGATCACACACCCTTCATCCCAGCATCCATACTCTAGATCCAGCCACCTCTGAGAAAGGTCCTCCTGGGGCTGCGTGAGGCTTTGGGGGACGTCTGGACACCGCCGTAACACCTGCTTCTGAGTCCAGGAGGTTTCAGAAGGTGGAGAGTCCGGCCCAGATCCGCCTTCCCCTCGCTCCCCTTGCCTCTGCCCGCCTCTCTCCTTCTTTCCTCTCCCTCCTGTCCCTTTCCCGTTCTCCCCTCCTCCTCCGCCACCTCCTCTTCCCCTCCTTCCTCCCCGCCCATGAAGGGCAAATCACAAAACTTCCACCCTGCTAGATATCAGGTAGGCCGGGTTCGTGTCCCCTGAAATCAAAGGTTTCTGAGGAACAATGGAGGTAAAGAATAAGAAAAATCTATCGGGAGAGATAGCTCCTGAGAGGCAAGAGGAGACCCAAAGGTGAGTTCCCACAGACCCCCCTTCTCTGAGAATGTTTTATAGGGCAAAGTCATGAGGTAAGTACAATGTGGGCCCAAACTATGCTCCGCCAGGGGCCGGGGATTTAGCTTAGTTGTGTTACGCCTGCCTTGCAAGCGCAAGGTCCTGAGTTCGATCCTTGGTACCCAAACCAACACCCAACAAGCATCAACCCATAAGGTTGCAAGTATAGCCACTTAGGTAATATTGATTCAATAGCGAAGAAGGTCACGTAGCGCGGGTGCTTAGAAAGAACAAAGGCATTCGGGGAGGACATGGGTCCGGATATTCTGGTCACCCACCTGGCTGACGGATGCCTAACCGGACTTTATTGGACCAGGCGATACCAATTACAGTATAACCTCAAGTTATTACTTAATCCTCTGGCAGGCAAGTAGGCCTGGTCATTCCATCTTTATCTTTTCTTTTTGTTACTGGAGATCGAACTCGGGTCCTTGCACTTGTGAGGCAGGCAGCGGAACCACTGAGCTAAATCCCCGGCCCCCATCTTTATCCTGAGGCCTGGCCTTGGACAGATGCAGACACCCACTGCGAACCCCCCGGCCCCCATCTTTATCCTGAGGCCTGGCCTTGGACAGATGCCCTCCTAGCCACATTATAATGCATTCTTGTTGGGAGCCCAACATTTGAAAGGAAACTTCTTCCTCTACAAAGAAGGCATTGATACAAGCTACGTAACATTTGTTACCTTTCAAGGACTCTGTTTGTTAAGCTTATTTGTTCTTCGACCCTGCGATGGGAGGAACTCAAAGAGATAGCCAAAGATCTGGTGGTATCTGTAGAAATCAGGAATTCCTGTTTTTGCATAAGAAATGATGGAGATGATTGCTTGGTGCTCCCTGTTGATGTGCCTTTAAGGAAAGCTGTTTCTGTAGAAATAAACCAGACTTCTCTTGGTCTCCACTCAGGCTTGAGTGTTCTTTCCTTTCTCAATCCTCACTCCCCGACTCAGGCACGTTCGTGTTGTGATGGCCCGGCCAACACACATTCTTATCTTTGGCACTGACTCCCGCGAGGGCCTGGCCTTGTCTCTCTCTCTAACTTAGCTGCCTCTAATACCCGCACCTTCAAGCACAGTTAGATCCGCAGCATGGCCGTCTGCCTGCTTGTCCACGACGTCAGCACCGCCATAGTCTGTTACCCCAGCTGGGAGCAAGAGGAAGCCACTTCCTCTCTGCCACCCCAGCAGCGCCATCCTGGCTCCTGTGTCCCCGCTGTCCCCACGTTGTGATTTCCTGCATGATCTTCAAGGCTCAGGCTGGTGAGCGCCTGCCTCTTGTGGTGGCCGCCCGCCCCTGGTCAGGACTCCTTCCCTTCCGGAGGCCCTGGGCTGGGTCTGCATCAGCGTGGCTGGGCTGTTCCTGCCAGGTGCTTCTCCAGCACACAAGCCGGCCCGCCTTGCACCTGCTGTGCACCGCCCTAAGCTGGCTTCCGCCTCAGAGGCCTTGGTCATGAAAGTGCCCCTCAGTCACCAAAGGTATGCAGGGGCCGGCGTGGGAGGGAAGAGCCAGGGCCCAGCGGCTCACCTTCGGGAGACGAAGGGCCATTCTCCACACGGAAGGTCTGGCACGCCCCCTGGAGCTTACTGTCTCCTTGGGGCTTTGCTTATTTTTCACTTGGTTGGACTTATTTCCTATTGATTTATGGAGTTATTTATCTATTATGGTACTAGTCAGTTATGTATTAGGTTTTTTTTTTTTTCATTTCATTAAAATGCCTCGGTCGTTAGAAGTTCTTAAATTTTTTTGGTTTTGGTTTTTAAGACAGGTTCTCATTAAGTAGTCCAGGCTGGCTTTGAACTCATGGCAATCCTCCTGCCTCAGCCTCCCGAATGCTAGGGTTACGGGCGTGTACCACCGGCCCGGCTTTAGTTCTTACCTTTAATATGACTGGATTTTGGACCTTAATCATGAATATTTTCATGCTGTGTTACAAAGAAAGTCCTTCCCTGCTCCATGACAGAAAGTTGGCCCCTCGGGCTTTTTTTTTTTTTCCCTGTTAAGTTTTAAACTTCTGTCCTGGTGGTCAGATTCTGAGTCCTCTGCAGTTGTGCGAGTCCAGGACTCCCGGGACACAGCGTCTCCAGTGGGGCCACCCAGACAGCCACGCACATCATCATTTGGGTCCCCTGGAGCTGAGAGCCGGCGCTGTGGTCAGGGATGAGGCAGAGACAGGCGGGCAATGGCCGCTGCTGGCTTTGATGTGGGAGGTTTGTGGCCAGGACTTGGTGACCTCTGAGGGCTGGGGACAGTGAAGCTCCAGTCCACAGAAGCGTCCTGTGCACAGCCTGAAGGAGCAGGACAGGACTCTCCTCTAGAGCCTCTAAAAGGAACCAGAGAGGCTCATTTCTGGCTTCTGACCCCTTTGCCCTTCCTTCCTTCCTTCCTTCCTGCTTTCTTTCCTTTTCTTTTCTTTTTCAGAGAGGATGTCTCACTATGTTGCCCAGGTTGGTCTCAGACTCCCCAGCTTAAGTGATTCTCCTGCCTCAGCCTCCCTGACGGCTTCTGACCCCTTTGCCCTTCCTTCCTTCCTTCCTGCTTTCTTTCCTTTTCTTTTCTTTTTCAGAGAGGGTGTCGCACTATGTTGCCCAGGCTGGTCTCAGACTCCCCGGCTTAAGTGATCCTCCTGCCTCAGCCTCCCTGTGACAGACAGAAGCACCCAACAATTCCATTTTTCCTGTGCTGGCTGAGGTGGGTGTGGCTTGGCCAGTGGATATCACGTCCCTCTCCGTCGATTCCCTGCCCTCCTTCACCCCCACGTCAATGGACTAGGACAACTTGCTTCAACGTCCTCCTTGCTGCTGCCTCGTTGAAGACGAAGGGAGGGAGGGAGCTGGGTTCACTGTTAACATCCCACCCCCACAGCAGGCCTTCCAGAAGATTCCCTACTTTCAGCCCTGCCCTTCACTGGATCATTGCTATGACAGCTGGAGCCCTGCACCAATCATGGGCCTATGCTTGGACCAATCACAAGCCTGCTGCTGTTATACAAGCAGCACCACAGATGCGCTTCTTGGGTTAGTCTAGGAGGGCTGCCTCCAGGGCACTGACCCCTGCGCTGCAGTCTTAACATAAAGACTCACTTTGGTGGCCCTGTAAGCTGGCTTGTGATTTCTCAGGTAGTGTGGGCTTCGGAAATCCTATAAATCTGCTTGGGATTCTTCTGCTGAGCAGCGTGGAAAGACTGGTTAGTTCCAAAGAAATAGCAGCAAACACTAAGAGCTGTTAGCTCTGAAAAGCTCCAGAGACCAGTGGCCAACCATCAGCAGGAGTGCTGACCTGTGATGTCCACCACAAGCGGGCATGCGATGGTGGCAGCTGGCTGCAACAGAGACCCAGCACGTTGTCGGCATTTCAGCATTATCCAGTGATGTCAGGACTGCTAGCCACAGCGCGCTTGGCTGATTCATGATTTCCGTCTGAACTGAGCACAAGAACCCGAGTGTGATTGGCAACATCTGAAGTTGCTGGGCAGCCCAGTGCTCTCCTGCACCTGGTGAATGAGTGCTCTTGGTGACGATAGTATTTTGAAGATGTAGGATGGACTCTGTGGAAGTTATTTCTCATGAAAAGTTGGGGCTGGGAGTTTCCGAAGCAGTTAGAGTAGTTCGGGCTCTGAGGACTTGAGACCTAGCTAACATGACTAAGTACAAAGGGATTTGTTTACTCAAGTAACAGGAAGCCCAGACAGAGAACAGCTTCTGGGTTTTCTAAATACAGAGGGCAACAATGCCACCAAACACTCACCTTTCATGTGACCAGTCCTCGGAGCAGCAGGCCTCACAGTCACAGGATGGATGCCTGAGCTCCAGACATCACAGACAGGTCCTACAGTGACCAGGAAAAAGAGACATAATGTCTTTCTTGTTCTACTCTGGATAAGCAGATACAAAGAAGTCATGCCCAGAAACTCTTTGAAAGTCTCCGCAGGCCTCACTCCTAAAGCAACCCTGGAGTGGTTGTGCCCTTTGGGCATCCTCCGGGATGCGTCCCAAATCCCAAGACGGGGCCTGTTAGTAAGGGTGTGAGCTGGGGCTGTGCTACCGTGCACTGGCCCTTGCTGTCAGTCCGTCCTGCAGCGGCTAGACTTGGAACGCCGCTGTGCAGCGTGTGGGTGGGGCATTCTGCGGTCACCACGGTGACCACAGACACTGGGTGTGGAGGGAGCGAGGCTGCAGGTTGGGAGGGACCCAGCACATGGGGGAACGACAGCAAAGTCTGCGTCAAACGCACCTTGTCCCTGAGGCCGGGGGCCGGTCAGAAGAGGGGCTGGAGAATGGCGAGGAACACAGCTGGCGGAGCACTGAGGCCGTGCCGGGGTCCAGGGACCCGGAGGAGGAGGTCTCCCTGGAGGAGGTGGCCGGGGAGCAGCACCCAGGGGCCCTGCCTCCCAAGGAGGTGCTCTTGGAGCCCGAGCTGGCTCCGGACCAGGACTTGGAGGCGGGCATTACCATGAGGTGGGCAGCAGACCCAGGTCCAGTTTGGGTGAGCTGGTGACTTTCCTGTGGGACAAAAACGCACGGCCTAAGGCGGGAGAGGTGTATTTTCGCTCACGGTTCATAGCGGTTTCAGCCCGGAGTTGTGCTGGCCACGTGCAGGCCAGCACATGGCACAGGGATCTGGAGGAAGAGACTTGCTCACCGCATGGCAGAGAGAAAGCAGGGAGAGAAAGAGGGACTGAGCAGGAGCTAAACCCTTCCAGGACATGCCCCAGTCTGGTATTTCCACAGACCCCTCCTCCTAACAGCAAGTCACCTACAGCCCCGTAACCCAATCACCTTCCCGAGGCCTCACCTACAGACACAGGAGGCTCTTGGGGGAGCATCTAGAGATGAAACAGCTCCTTTCTGGGCCCTGGTATTCCGAAGGTGATCAGGAAACACTATGAGCCCGCAGACATTGTGGTACTTGGTTAGGGCCGCTCTCCAAGGGGAGGAGCTGGCCGCGGAGGAAGACGTGGGGACTCAGGTGGCTGGTGACCTGGCCACTGCCTCTGTCTCCCCGTAGCCAGCTGTCCATCGCTGAGAGGCGCCCTGACACCCCCACCGCCAGGAGCAGGAGGAGGCGGCGGCTGCAGGAGCTGGCAAAGCCCAAAACCGACTGGCAAGTGATCAGGGACAGGTGAGCAGACACCCTCCATCTTTCCTGTTCCTCCGTCCCCTGCTCAAGCTGTCGCCACCCATGTCACCTTGGGGCAGGGCACTAGGGGGCTGTGGGGGAAGTGAGAGGCCAGGACCACATAGGTCGGGACTGTAGGGGCCCCGGGTGGCCTTAGAAGGACAGTGAGGTACCTGCCGGGGAGCAGGGGGGACCCCGAGCCACAGGGGGCTGGGGCCATCTCCTCGTAGGCCGGGGTGCTGCTGTGAGGGCTTCGCCTGGATCTCCCCACGCAGGAAGAACTTACATTTCTGTCTCTATTGGTGAGTCGGGCATCAGGGGCCACAGCAGCCCCACGGGCCGCCCTTGAGGGGCCAGGGCAGGAAGGGGAGGGCTCCTGACGGGGCTCCTTAGCGCCTGCCTCGCCTGTCACTGTGCTCCCAGCTCGCGCTGGAGATGGCCTGGTCCCTCCCCTTTTTTGTAGCACTAGGGATGGAACCCAGGGTCTTCACACTGGCCCATACCCCAGCCCTTTTTAATTTTTATTTTGAGATCATGTTTCCCTAAGCGGGTAAGTTGCCCAGGCTGGGCTCCAGGAAACTGAGATCCTCCTGCCTCAGCCTCCTAGAGTGCTGGGATGACAGGGGTGCACCACCACACTCGCTCGCCAGCCTGGGCTGTCTTAGGCACGGTCCCCTCTGAACATCTGCCTCATTCCAGACAATCCATGTTTCCCAGTGATGCCCCATGTCCTCCCCCTGGCCCAACCCTCTGGTCCTCTCTGTGTCATCCCTGCTGTCCGGGCCCCAGCCCAGCTTCCCTCTCAGAGCAGGGTGGGGCCAGCCTGTGTGTCCCTGCCCTGAGCTGCTGGCTGTGTTCCAGGCCTTCCGTGTACTGGACGGAGTGCTTTCTTGAGGATACTACCCTGAGTGTCACGGTGCCCGGTAGGTGAGGTGCTCCGGGGGCGGCTCTACCTGGCCTGGGGTCACGCTTTCTGTGTTGGGCTCCTGGGGCTGGGCACACAGAAGGAACAACCTCTTACGAAGGGTCAGGTTCCTGCTGGAAGTCTGGGTCCCCTCTCGGCACGATCGATCCCCCGGCCCTGGGGGAGATGGCGATTATCCTGGGCTATCACCGAGTTGGGGCCACTTCCAGTTGTTCAGGGTCCCCCTAGCTCGTGTGCCCCAGGCTGGCTTCTCTGTTAGAGGTTTCCAGAGTTATGTCAGACCCTAGGTTTTCCTGGTGGTCACCTGGATGTCAGCACTGGGCCCTCCCTGTGGGTTCCGAGAGCCGGCTTCCTCTTCCTTCCTCAACCTTCAGGATCCTCCTTTTAGAGATTCCTCCTCTCTACCTGCCTCCCTTAGTCCCAACACGAACTCCGGCTCTAACCCTCCCGGGAGCCCTGAGCCACCGTTCCCAGATGGGCAGAGAGGTCACCTCCCCCAAGGCTTCTGTGCCCAGCTGTATCTCCTGGGTCAGACCAAGCTCCCGCCCGGGCCCAGGTCAGCCCCGCACGCAGGGTAGGTAGCAGAAGCCGGGAGGGGCTGCGCCTGGGGTGACCGGGCCCCACCTCTGCACAGCCGTGTCCCACCGCGTGGAGGAGCTGGCGCGGCCCCGGAGGTTCTACCTGGAGAATTTCAGCAGCTGCCGGTGAGCAGGTGGGGAGAGGGCCCGCGCCCCCCGGAATCCTCTCAGGTTCCCCTGTCCCTGAGACGGACGCAGACCAGGACCCTCGCATGCCCGGGTACCCCGCTCTCGGTCAGGCTGGGTCTCAACTGCCGCCACCCCTAGGGCCTCTCCCATCTGGCCTGTCCCTCGGCCCACCCTGGAGTACCGCGCGTCCAGCAGGCTGAAGGAGCTGGCCACCCCCCGGGTCCGCAAGAACGTCTGGAGCATCGACATGTCGGAGGTAGGTGGAGCTCGCCGCGCGCCTGGGGATCGTTGCCCTTGGAGTCGGGCAGGGGACAAGAGGCTGCAGGCTGGGCAGGAAACTGCTTTCTTCTCTCGCGGTCCTCAGGCCTGCGTGGTCGCCACTGTCCGCCCAGATGTCAGTCCTGCTGCATGCTGAGTCAGGACGCTCACTGGGGTGCGGTTGGGGGTCAGAGCGCTGGCACCATGGCTGGACCCCTCCCTTCTGGGTCAGGAGACAGGGTCACAGCCCAGCTTCCTCCTCTCCCCACCCCTCCGTCCCCTCTCCCTCGTCTTCTCCAATAAGTTCTCACTATTCAGGCTGGCTTTGAACTCACAGTGATCCTCCTGCCTCAGCCTCCCGAGTGCTGGGATGACAGGCTGCACCACCACGCCATGCCCGGTTCCCAGCCTGGCTCCTTTCGCCTCACGGGGGACACAGTGGTACCCACCAGTGGGACAAGCAGGCTCCTCTTGGGGGAGAGTGTCGGGCCATTTCCGGTCCTGGCTTCTGCAGGTTCACACACAGGCTCTGAGGGGACCTCAGCTCCCCTGCCTCTGTGGGATTTTGGGGTCCCAGGTGCATCCCTCCTCCCCCATTCACCGGCTCCAAAGCAGCCGTGTGGGCCGGTGAGGAGGCCGCGGCCGGGGTCCCTCTCCTGCCTGGCACTTGTGTGAGCAGCTGCTTCTGCGCTTCTGGCCCAGTTGGGTGCTGTGCAGTGGTTCTCTTTGCGGTTTTGATTTGCAGCTCCTGGTCGTACGCTGGGTCCTCTGTTCCTGCGGTCACAGCCGACCCTGCTGTTTTCCTCTATATTCATTTATAGGTTTTGTCTCATCCTTCCCGCCCCGCCTCCCCTCCCTATGGACTAAAGCTTTGTTTCCATGTTTCCTTGTACTTTCACTTTTTCCTGGTCCCTTCCGTCCTCCCCCCCCTCCTCCCTTGTTCCCCCTCCCATGTGAACGCCTTCTTCCCATGCCAATGTCTGTTACACGTTTCAGTCCTCACTTCCACTTTGAGTTTCTCACACCAGAGAACAATGTGGTGTTTAAAGCGTGTGTGTCTGATTTATCTCACTTAGGAGTATGGTGTCAAGGTCCATCCATTTAGCTGGACGTGTCTCAAGCTCACCCTTCTTTATGGCAGAGTAGTGCTCCACTGTACCTAAAAACCACATCTGCTTTATCCATTTTGATCGGCGTTCGGGCTGTTTCCAAGATTTAGCTGTTACAAATTGTGCTGCTATAAATACGGGTGTGCATACATCACTTTGGTGTGATGTTTTTAATTCTCTCAGGAAGATACCAAGAGGAAGTATAATTGGGTTAGGGTTAAATGGAACCTCTAGGTTTAGTTTCTTGAGGGATCTTCGCACTGATTTCCACAGTGGTTGCACCAGTCTGCACTCCCACCAGCAGTGGAAAAGGTCTCCTCTTTCCCCACAGCCCCGCCAGCATTTGTTATTGGTTGATTTCTTGACAGCAGCCATGCTTTCTGGGGTGAGGTGGAATCTCAGTGTTATTTTCATCTGCATTTCTCAGATGACCAGTGATGTGGAACATTTTTTCGTATATTTATTTGCCATTTCTGATTCTTCTTCTGACAAGTGTCTTTTTATTTCAGATGCTCATTTTTGCACTGACAAACCCTGCTTTTTGGAAACTTAGAGTTTCCAAAAAAAACACAAGGTCTCTCCTATAAACATTTCCATATTTCCAATGGAAAAGGACATTTTCAAAATAGCAACAGGGATAACACTGAAAAATTAATAATTCCTTAACATCAAAATGCTCAGTGCTAGGATTGAACCCAGGATTTTTCCACTGAGCAACATTCATAGCCCTTTAAAAAATTTTTAAGGTGAGACAAGTTCTTGCTAAGTCTGTAAGTTGTCCAGGCTGGGCTGGAATTTGCAGCCCTCCTGCCTCAGCCTCTCAGAGCTTTGGGATGACAGGCACATGCCAAGGCCCCAACAAAAACAAGAAGAAAAAAGGGACATGATAGTGCATGAGGGTCTCTTTCCTCCCACCTTCTCACCAAGGCTCAATCACATCAGACTTTATAAATATTTGCCAAATTTGTAGGCAGGGAGTGATATATTGTGGTTTCATTTACATTTCTGTAGATATCAGAGAGGATTTTGATCATCAAGGGCTTGCTTCTCTCCTATAGCGCCTGCCTTGTTCCTTCCTGCCTGGGACTTCCTGTTATTGATTTGCCCGAGCTCTTTATATATGATAGCTACAAATCCTTGCAAACTGACTTCTCAGTCGGTCTCTTTTCATTTTGTGCTGCTCATGCTTTCTCCCCTGGGACCTGTGAGGACTTGGGGGCTGCTTTACTCCTTCCCCTCCATTCCTGCTTCAGGTGTCACGAGTGTCAAGGGCAGCCCAGATGGCCGTCCCCAGCTCACGGATCCTTCAGCTGGCCAAGCCCAGGGCCCCACCCATGCTGTCGGCAGAGTGGGACCCCGTGCCCAAACCCAAGCCCTATGTGTCAGACTACAGCCGCCTCCTCCAGCTGGCCAGTGAGTACACCCAGGCCGGGCTCCTGCCCTCTGTGTCCTTGTGGATGTGGGTGGGGGGATCAGATGCCTTGGGGTTGAGACTCCTCCCCCTACCTCACTCCCTAAAGTGCAGGCTGCTGTCAAGTGCTGTGGACTAATGGCCCCCTCACACAGGCCAAGGGACCCTATCCCGGGAGGAAAACAGGGACAGGGGTGTGAATGTGAGCAGAGCACCTCCCGAGGGTCTCCTGGTGGGGACAGTGGGGACTGAGGGGGAAGCCAGGCACAGGGCAGGAGCTGAGGGTCAGATGGTTATCTACCTGGCCTACCCTGTGTTCAAAATGGCAAAGGCACCTTCCTAGAGACAGGGCCATGCCGTGCCTTGTGCAGGAGGGTTCAGAAAATACAGAAAGGCAGAAAGAAGAAAGTAACAGCAGCCAGGCATGGTGGTACATGCCTGTCATCCTAGCACTCGGGAGGCTGAGGCAGGAGGATCCCTGACTTTTCAAGGCCAGCCTGGGCTACGTGGCTCATGGCAGACAGGGGCTTGGTGACTTCAGTGAGGTCCCCTACTGACCGCACCTCTGGCCCGGGGAGCCCTTTTTCTACAGCCTCCACAGCAGACTGCTGTTCGTTGTGTGATGTCCCCTGTGTGCCAGGCCCAGAGGTCACAGGCCTTGAAAAGCCACCGTGTGCTTCAGAGGCGACTGCCATCATGGTGACTGGCTGTCTGGGTTTGCTTTTCCCTTCGTATTTGGAGTCACCCTTGGTGGGAGGCCTTCAGTCATTCCTCGTTTGCCGGGATGACTTCCTCCCGGGCTGTGTCCGTTTGTTAGATCGGCTGCTGGGCTTCTGTCCGTCCTTATGTTTCTCCTCCCTGCCCCGGTTTCTGTTAAGTGTCACACACCTCCCACATCTCTCTGCACACGCATCCCGTCTCGGAGGCACAGAGAGCTCACACGTGCGCACCAATGTGTGCAGGCCGGGGTGTGTCCCCCACGAAGGGCTGGGACCAGCATTTCCCGGATGGAGCCAGGGCGGTGCCCCAGACTATGACCAGCACGCTGGCCGAGGTGCAGGCTGGGGTGCTCTGCCTCACGTTCCTCTGTGTGGTCGCCCGTGGGCAGTGTGGCCATCGCCCCTTGTGACTTGTCTGCCACAGGGGTCTGGAGTGCCCTTTGTTCGTCTACGAGAGGCTCTGGCTTGGAGCCCCTCAGACTAGAGGCCCAAACCCCCAGACAAAGGGGAGATGCGGTTTTGTTGTCAGCGGGGCTTGGGGTCACCTCTTCTCCCAGCCCCAGCAGACCTGGATAAGAGCAAGAGCTGCCAGAAGGAGATGCCCCCTTGCTGCCCCTGCCCACGGTGGACCAGAGTGGGCTGGGAAGACTGACCAAGTCCCCCCTCACCCTGACCACCGGGCCGGCTGCACTGGGAGACCTGAGTTTCCTTGTCACCTGTTAGAGTGGATTTTCATCCTTTTGCAAGATGCAATTGGTCCTGGGCTGCTGGGCCATGTGTGTGTGTGTGTGTGTGTGTGTGTTTGTGTGTGCATGCGTGTGTGATTTTTAGGTTTTTTTTGGTACTGGGGATTGAACTTGGGACCTGGTGCTTGAGAGGCAGGCAGTGGCACCACTGAGCTAAGTCCCTGGCCCTGTGTGGCATTTTTGAGAGAGGGTTTCGCTATGTAGTGCAGGGTGGCCTTGAACTTACTACATACTCCAGGCTGCTTTGAACTTGAGGTGCTCCTCCTGCCTCTGCATGCTGGGGTTGTAAGTGTGCACCGCCATGCCTGACCATAGGCTGGTGCTTGAGTCTCCTCTTCGTCCAGGCCCCTAAGGAGGAGGATCCCTGTCCTGGCTTCCAGGGAGCTGCCAGTCGGCTGAGGGTCCTTGCTCAGCTCACATAGAAATCACAAACTGGCAAAGTGGAGCTCTCTGGGTGTTACCCGCTGCCGGCAGCTCTCGGTTCCTACTGTTAGCTGCCCTCCTGCGCTCAGAGCCAGCCGCTGCCCGCAGCTCTGGGACTCTCCCGGCCACCAGAGGTGGTGGCTGATGGCTCTGCCACATTGCTCTTGGTCCCTCCCTGCTGCCAGGCAGCTGCTGGCTGCTTTTGGTGCTGGCGACCTTGGTGTTACCAGCCTGTAGAGTTGCTGCTCAGTGTGCTCTGCCCAAGATAGACATCATGGAGAGGAAAAAATACCCCGCCTGAAAGAGGCTTTGTTAGGACTTAGGCTGTGGCGTCAGAGGCGACAGCATGCAGAGAGACCAGGTAATATATAGAAAGGAGGTGATCTGTGCCAGGGAGGGGACCCTCGTGGACCTGCCTGAGGAGGTCACAGCAGCTGGTGTCACCTGGGGACTGGTCCACGCTCGAAGTCTGCTGTGGCCGGAGCAAGTGTTCTTGGAGAGGCCTTGGGGCTCCTCACAGAGCTGGACGGACGGCCTGGATTTGGGGTTCTCCCCCCGAAAATAAAAAGTACCACTTAGGAAGTGTTGGGCCCTTCTATCCTGTCTCACTCTTGGCTAGGGCCTGACTCTTCCTTTCTGGGAATTGTGACCAATTGAAATATTTTTTAATTTACACTTTACCCCTTTAAAAGGGTGGCTTTGAGTGCTTTCACCGTTGTGCAGGCATCATCACTGTCCGACTCCAGATCATTTCTTCACTCCCAAAGTAACATCGTCCCCTTAAGCAGTTGCCTGTCACCTCCCCAGCCCCAGCACCCACAAGTCCACTTCCTGTTTCTGGAGTCGCCTGTCCTGGGTGTTTCCTGTCCAGGGGATGCACGCTGTGCTGTGTGTCTTTCTGTGTCTAGGCGTGGGGTCCTCAACAAGTATGCCAGCATCACCCCTTTTCCCGGCTGAGTAGTATTTCGGTGTGAAGCCAGATCGTGTTGTGTGTCCTCTTTCATCGACGGACAAGCCACTTGAATTTGGAGGCATGATCTAGAAAGCTGAGTCCCAGTGCTGTCCCTCTTTCCTGTCCCTCTAGTGCCTAAGGCCCAGTCAGAAAAGTGTGTTCCTGACCGCAGTCCTTGCTGGGAGGTGCTGGACATCACCAAGAAGGCTGTGGCCAGTCCAAGGATCATCTCCCTGGCCCAGCCCAGAGTCCGCAAGGGCCTCAATGAGGACTACAACCCCTACTACATCTCCCCGGCCTCCCTGGTGGCTCAGGCATCCCCGCGCCTGTATGAGCTTGCCACCCCCAGAAGCATCACCAAGAAAGTGTGAGCGGGCGCCTGGCCTGCCAGCGGACTCCCAGTAAACACCCAAGTGCATCCCGCCTGTGTACGTGTCTGCTGTGGGCTCCGAGGCTGGGGAGGGGCGTGCAGGGGGCCGCGGGCTGAGGCGGAAAATAATAATAATATTGAATCTTCGCATGCTACCTGCGGTCTGTGCAGCCCTCTTATTTGGGGGGTCGCTGTCTTCAGTCCTGTCCAGCACCTCTGAGGTCAGACTTCGCTGCTTTGCCTCAGAATTCCCTCTCCTGGCTGCCCCTCCAGTGATCCCGCGGGCAGGCCTCAAACTCATGGACTGTCATGGTGACCAGCAAGCAGGGACAGTAGAGGCCACGGTCCAAGAAGTTAGAGAAAAACCAGGGTTCCTGCTGGGTCCCCAAATTCATGAGTTGAAATCCTCCTCTCCACCAAGCATGGTGGTGCACATCTGTAATCCTGGAACTCCGGAGGCTGAGGCGGGAGGATCGCTGTGAGTTTGAGGCCAGCTTGGGCTACAGAGCAAGACCCTGTCTCAAAAAACGAACAAACAAAAAACAGGACCGGGGATTTAGCTCAGTGGCACTGCATCTGCCTCGAAAGCACAAGGTCCTGATCCCCGGTACGGGAAAAAAAAAAAAAAAAAAAAAAAACAAAAA